GTCTCAGCTCATTAGTCTATGTTTACGGCGGGGAACAGGCAATATTGCTCTGTGAATAGGAGCTGCACGCTTGAATACTAAACACTCCCTTTCTCCCCAAAGCTTTGTTTTCTCTTTTCAGCGGAATTCACATTGAAATGAGGTGGAGGACTCCCCACTCGCTGCCCGTTTCTTTCCACTGACACAGTAATGAATTAACCTGTTAGAAAATGGCTCGTTAACTTGAAATGGCACAGAGCTGCGTCGCCTAGATCATCCTGTTAGGGTGTCTGTGCAGCTGTTTATGAGCACTGAGATACAGTAAGTCAGCCCCTTCACGTGCAATTCCAGGTCTCTGCGGACACTGGGGCAAACAAGGGGAAAAAACAAGGTGCTATCAGGTTTCATCGCAAGTGCCCTATATTACTGTATACTATTGAGTGGCGGTGGTTTTAAATGGACCGGTGATCGAGACAGATCGCTAATATTTAATGCATTAATGCAATATCCAATATATGGTTCCATTTGTAAAGCATATTTATAGAGCAGTGTTCTTTTACTCTAAGCTGGAGTATACTTACAGTATCTTCAACACTTCAGGTGGGTAGCTGCGTCAGCATGCATAGGCTGCAAAGGAACAAATAATAGGTTTATTCCATGCTGAAAAGAGAAGAAAGAAAACACAACATTCGGAAAAAGGTTTTTTGTTTTTTTTTCGGTTTGACACCTGGAAAAGGCTCCATATTTTCAACACTTGCTCTGAAGGAGCAACGTTTTCTTGAAGTGTTAACTTCAACGTGGTTTGGGTAACTTTCAGTATACCTCCTACACATACTGTACAATTTTAAGCAGTCTCCACAGCATGGAATGACACTAGCAGAAGAAAATTGACTTGACGTAACAGGGCTCATCTTAGCCTGTGATGGTAATATAATGCTCCTGGTGCCTGGTTAGAGATTAATTCTTCCACTGTTAGGGTCTCAGCCTTTTAGCGTAGTGGAATGCACTACTTTCTAGGAAGTGGTGCAGTATGGCTATGAAG